CTCCACCAGACTGAGTCCAGTGCAGCTAGATGGTGCCCAGCTACCACCATTGACTTCTCTGACCGGGATTACAATAGAGGGTCCTGGACAGAGCTGGAAAAGGATGTAGAACAAAATGCTAACTCACAAAAAAAAAAAAAATTACCAGATTTACTGGCCTGACAGACTGGAGAAACCCTGAGAGTATGGCTCCCGGACACCCTTTTAGCTCAGTGGTGAAGTCACTTCTGAAGTTCACCATTCAGCTGGGGATTGGACAGCCGCATATAACAAAATGGGACTAAAGAGGCACAGCAGTCCAGGGACAAGGACTAGAAGGCAGCAGGGGACAGGAAAGCTGGTGATAGGGAACCCAAGGTTGAGAAGGGACAGTGTTGACATGTCGTGGGATTGTTAACCATTGTCATAGGGCAATATGTGTACTAACTGTTTAATGAGAAACTATTTTTTTTGCAAACCTTCATCTATGGTACAAAAAAAAAATAAAAAGAATTATCTATGTGAGATCAAATTGACAACAGCAACCCAAAGGTTTGATGGGAAGCCTAGGGGGAAGTGAGTGAAGATAATGGTGATGGAATAACTTGAAAAAGGATAGTGAGAATAGCAGCACAACTGGAAGAATGCAATCGATGTCACCGAATTGTACATGTAAAAACTTTTGAAATGGTGTAGCTTTGGCTATGTATATTTTCACCAAAAAAAAGTCCTCCAAGGTCGAGAAGGGAAAGTGTTGACATGTCGTGGGGTTGTCAACCAATGTCATAAAACAATATGTGTACTGACTGTTTAATCAGAAACTATTTGTTCTGTAAACCTTTATCTAAAGTACAATAAAAAAAAATTGAAAAAAGAAAAAATAAAAGCTCACAAGTGGCCATCTAAGATGCATCAATTGGTCCCAACCACCTGGAGTAAAGGAGAATGAAGAACACCAAAGACACAAGGAAAGTATTAGTCCAAGGAACAGAAAGGGCCACATAAACCAGAGACTTCATCAGCCTGAGACCAGAAGAGCTAGATGGTGCCCAGCTACCACCAATGACCTCCCCGACAGAGAACACAACAGAGAATCCTGGATGGAGCAGGAGAAATGTGGGGTGCAGAACTCAAATTCTAGTAAGAAGACCAGACTAATGGTCTGAATGAGACAAGAGGAACCCAGGAAAGCATGGCCCCCAGATTCTCTATCAGCCCAGAACTAAAACAATCTCCGAGGCCAACTCTTCAGTGATACTCATGAGGAGTGTGCCTCTTAGCTCAAGTAGATACAAGAGACCAAACGGGTAGCTTCTGTCTGGAGATGAGAAGGGAAGGCAGAGAGGGTTAGGAGCTTGTTGAATGGACATGGGAAATCAGGGGTAGAAAGGAGCAGTGTGCTGTCACAGTATGGGGAGAGCAATCAGAGTCACATAACAATGTATGTATAAATTTTTGTATGGGGAAAAATAAAATAAATTTTAAAAAAAAGCACTTGGCTACTAACTGAAAGATGAGTGGTTCAAACCCACCAGCTGCTCCTCGGGAAAAAGATGTGGCAGTCTGTTTCCATAAACATTGTTATTGTTGTGTGCCATTGACTTGATTTCTGACCCTATAGAACAGAGTAGAACTGCCTCACTGTGCCACCAGGTCTCTCTTCCATAAAGGTTATAGCCTTGGAAACCCTATGGGGCAGTTTACTCTGTCTTATACATGTAGGGTTGCTCTAAGTCAGAAGCGACTTGATGGCAACTTTTTTGCGGGGGAGAGGGGGTGGGAAGGAACCAGGTGGAGGTGATAAGATTTGACACAATAGAAGGAAGAGCAGCTGAGGGCTTTCAGATGTGATGATGGCTGTGTTGTGCAGGGCGTGAATAGAATCTTGGAGCCCAGCCAGAGGTGTTGAAGAATCCAGATGAGCATCTTTGTGGTTCTGAACAAACGCAATTATAGTACAAATGGAAAGGAAGGGCCAGGCATGAGGAGTTGGGCAACTTTGTCCCAGTGGTGCTGGGTGATGGTGATTCTAGTAGGATTTGGTGATGGGCTGAGTATAAATAAAAGAGGTGGAGAAATCAAGGTGACCCCATAGTTTTGATTTGGTGTGTTTGGGAGGAGGTGGTTACCATCGACTTGAGATTGAGTAGACCTGAGGAGAAGCATATGTAGAAAGAATAGATGGCAGATGGAGCCTCCCAAGGAGGGGTCAGGGCAGAAGGGAAACAGAGAGAGTGGGAACAGTCAGAGACGTGGAGTCAGACCAGCATGGTTGGCCACAGAGGACAAAGGAAGAGTCTCAGGATGAAGCAGTGATCATGGATTAGAAGCTTCTGAGCTCATAAAGAATGGGGAATGAGAACACACCATTGGAAACCTTCTAGAGATAGTTTCAAACAGTTATGGGAATGGACACAGATCATATGGAGTGTATGAGGAGGGCAAGGAAGTTGACTCATATGGACTCAATGGACTCAAACACCAGCAATCACAAACATGACCTGAGCAACATTTCCTTCTGCTATACATAAGGTAGCCATGAGTTGGAGCTGACTCTACAGCAACTGACAACAAGGAAGTTGAGGCATGGGCATAAATATATTTTTTAAAAGCTTGGACATAAAAGGTTATAAAAATGGTCAAGTGAAAGTATTTTTCAAGATAAGGAGAAAGTAGGTAGCTCCAGGCTGGAGTGGGACATTGAAATTGGAGAAGGAAAATGTGGGAGAATAGAATCCAGGGCAAGTAGGGCTGGGACTAGCACAGGCAAGTGAGGCGCTTCCTGGTGTGCAAAACTTAAGAGGATGCTAAAAAACTCAGAAATCAAGAAAAATCAAAAAACTCAACATTAATGCAAAAATCCATAGTAAGCAAAATTTTGTTGATTGTGGATACTTTTTTAAATCTATTTTTTTTCAAAATGGATCAATCTGTTGTGATTTTTTTTTAAAAATCCATGATACTTAAAAAGTGGAACAAAAATCCATCTTGTAATTTAAAAAATGTAATGAGGAACACAGATATGATATTTTATTCATCATGGATTTTGCATTAATTTTTATTTTTGAAAAAAAAATTTCATTAAAATAGTAGTTATCTTGAATCCTGAGGTTTTTGCACCCTCTGAAGTTCGCACCTGAACTGGGTGTCTCATCTCCTCACCCTGGTCTTGGCCCTTTAAGACACTGTTATGCTTCTCTCCTAGAGCACTCCCAAAACCAAAACCAAACCCATTGCCATCAAGTCTATTCCGACTCATAGCGACCCTATAGGACGGAGTAGAACTGCCCCACAGTGTTTCCAAGGAGCATCTGGTGGATTTGAACTGCTGACCTTTTGGTTAGCTATCTATTTCCATGTCTGGACCCTCTCCCCATGCCCTTGACCCCAATCCCTCTCTTCCTTGCACTAGCTCCCTTTCTGACCTGCTTAATCACACCACTTGCTTTACCACACCTCCCAAGCTGGCTCTGTCCCACCTTTTCCCTCCCCCTCTACCATGTTCTGGACTCTTCCCCATGCCCTCACCCCCATCCCTCCTCCCTTCCTTTCACTCCCTCCCTCTCTGCCCCATTTTATCCTATCTCCCCAGGCCATCCCTGTCCCACCCCTGCCCTCCCCCTCCGCCATGTTCCCCTTCTCTCCAGTCTCTCTTTTATCCAGATAGACCAGCCTGAGTTTGCTGTCCCTCTCAAGCAAGAGCAGGAACAGAAGATCTATGCCCAGGTAAGATCAGGTGGATGAGGGTGCTGGCTGAGGAAGCTAGGAGGTAGGCAGGGCCGCTGTGGCTGTGACTGAGGCCCCCCACCTCCCCCAGATGGTGAGGGAGTACCTGACCTACCTGAATCAGCTGGGAACCCTGCTGGGAGGGGACCCCGACAAGGTGCAAGAGCACGCGGCTTTGTCCATCTCCATCACCTCGAGGCTGTCCCAGTTCCTGCGGCCCCTGGAGGAGCAGCCGGAACAGATGGTCACTATCGCCCAGCTGCAGGTGCCTTGGACCAGGGGCTAGAGGGCCGGTGCGTGCAAGGGCCTCTCCCAACCCTTCTTGACCCCTGTCCTCTTTCTCCTCCTGCCCTCAATCCTCTCCAGCCCCACTTTCTCTGGTTCTACCCCTTCCTGTAGCCATCCCCCTCCCGCTTCCTCTCAAACCCTCCCCTTTCCCTGTTCCCCTCAGCCTCTGTGTCCCCCCCCCCCAAGGAAATGGCCCCTGCCATCAATTGGTTGTCCTGCTTGCAAGCAACATTCACGCCGATGCCCCTGAGTCCCTCTCTGACCCTCATGGTCCGTGACCTGGAGTATTTGACAAACATGTCACAACTGGTGGGAAGTCTGCAGCTGAGACACAGGTGTGCCCCTTAGGGTTGGGGGTGGAGGGAAGGGATGAGAGGCTGAGGGACCGCAGGTGTGCGGGTTGGACCAAGTCCCTCCTCCGCTGCTCCCAGCCTACCTCATGCCCAGGAAAGCTCTTCTGGCTTGTGGGCATGTCCGGGCGGTGAACCTCATATCCCCCGAGGAGACCTGCTTACCCGGGGCGTCAGGGGGACCCATACCAAGCTCTTCGTCCCAGAGGTGCATGTGGGGGACTCATCCTTCTACAGTGAATTTCTGCAAAGCCACATGATCCTGGGGCTGGTGGGCACCCTCTCTCCTGCCCTGGACAGCAAGTTCCAGAAGGCCCGCCAGGAGCTGAACCAGAAGCTGCAGCAGCTAACAGGGCGCCAGCTCATGGTGAGGAGGGGGCTTCTCCCCAGGTAGGGGCTGAGGGGTGTCTGCCATCTGAGGGTGAAGGTTGGTACGTCTCGGGGGACAGGAGGCACATGCCTCTCAGTGTCTGGGCTTCTACAGCAGCAGGAAGGTTGGGCTTGCAGGGGTTAACATGTGGTCCCTGGGCCCACTTTTATCTCCTGGCCACCCCTCTGGCCTTTGGCTGAATATTGTTGTTGTTGCTGTGGCGTTGGCTCTGATTTATGGTGACCTCATGTACAACAGAACAAAACGCTGCTCAGTCCTGCACCATCTTCACAGTCGTTGGTATGCTTGAGTCCATTGTTGCGGCAATGTTGAGTGTCTTCCAACCTAGGGGGCTCTTCTTCCATCGCTGTATTGGACAATGTTCTGTTGTGATCCATAAAATTTTCATTGGCTGATTTTTTGGAAGTAGATCACCAGGCCTTTCTTCCTGGTTTGTCTTAATCTGGAAGCTCTGCTGAAACCCGTTTAGCATTTGCCTCAGTTACCTAGTGCTGGTATAATAGAAATACCACAAATGGGTGGCTTTAACAAACAGAAATTTTCTCATAGTTTGTGGGGGAGGTTTTGAATTTAGGGCACCAGCTCTGGGGAAAGATTTCTGTCTCTGTTGGCTCTGGGGGAACGTCCTTGTCTCAGCTTCTCTTCCTTGGGTCCTCAGAGATCTCATGCTGTGTGACATCTATCTTCCCCCATCTCTGTTTGCTTGCTTGCTTGCTGCTTAATCTGCTTTTCTGTCTCAAAGGAGATTGATTTAAGACACACCCTACATTAATATGATCTCATTAATGTAACAAAGAAAACCCTACTCCAAAATGGAATTATAACCGCACACAGGTGTAGTAAGATTTATCACACATATTTTTGGGGGACACAATTCAATGGATAACAGTCTCATAGCAACACACAAGCCTCCCCTGAAAGACAGATGATGGCTGTGCATGAGGTGCATCGGCCGGCAATTGAACTTGGGTCTCCCACAAGGAAGGCGAGAATTCTCCAGATTACTAAAATTACCATCCTTTCCACTAAGGTCTCTGATTGTCCTCTGGCCTAAATGCTGGGTCTGGGTCTGCCTATAAACCCTTGGGTGGCTTTGGGGAAGCCATTCCACCTCTCTGGAACAAACGTGATGCATAATAGTCACAACAGCTGTTAAGCAGCAGACGGTGACCACGCTGGACACTGCACAAAGCACGTAGCATAGATTATTTTATTTAATCCGCCCAGAAGCACTATGAGGTCTTTAAACTCCATTTTGCAGATGCAGAATTAGGCTCAGAAAGCCCAAGGTAACTTTCCCAAGACCACACAGCTTGTAAGGGAAGGAGCTGGGACTCCAGAGCAGGTCTTCTGGCTCGGAAGGCCATGACTTAACCACATACCAGACAGGGCTGAAAGGGAAGAGGGCGGAACAGGCCAAAGGTCGGTCAGCAAACTCTCTCTAGAAAGGGCATGGTGGTAAATATTGTTGGCTTTGTGGCCCATACGGTCTCTGTTGCAGCTACTCGCCTCTGTCCTTGTGGCATGAAAGCAGTCACACACTATGCAAAGGATGGGCATAGCTGAGCTCTGATGCAACTCTGGTTTAGACAGCAGATACCTTGCAGCTCCCAGGAGGGAGAGATCAGACAGGGTTCAAATGAGCAATAAAGGAGGTAGGACTGAAGAGGTGTCTAGAGAGGTGATGGTGTTTCCTGGCAAAAAAAGGACAGGGCATGAAGCAGGCTGGCTCAGCCTCAGCATGGTCTGAGGGGCCCTCTGGGGGCTCTGGCTGAGAAGGGATGGTTGGATTCATGAAAAGCTGGTGGAGATGCCGTGAGCAAATCAGCAAGGAGGTCGGTGTGGGGAGCAGCGTGAGTAGATAGAACAGAGGTAGGGAGGAACTCAGAGAGGGAGGAGGGCCTGTCAGGGCCTGGTGGTTACTGTAGGATCTTGCTCGTCTCTGTGTGAAACAGGGAGCTTGAGGAGGATTTGTCTGCTATATGTGTAAAAAGGAGCACTCTGAGAGCAGACCAGGGGGAAGGGTAGAGTCGGGGAGAATGGTTAGCTTAATGCAGTAGCCTGAGTTAGAGATGGCCACAGCTCTGCCAGGCGTGGTACCCTAGAGAGGTGTGAAGCGGTGGATTCAGGGTGTAGTTTGCTTCCTGGTGGCTTGTGGCATTGGAGAAAAAGTGTAAGGACACCACGGAGGTTCTGGCATTGGTTGGACTGGAATTGTCAGTTCCATCCAAGGGTCATCAATTACAGATCTCTGACCATCTTCTTCTGAATAAATTTTAATTGTTAGCAACCTTACGGAAAAGGACTTTGAGGTCTCATGATCCAGCCATCTTTTACTGACTGATTTTGAATGTATTATTGTAGTTGTTAGGTGCTGTCGAATCAGTTCTCACAGTGGCCCCATGTACAGCAGAACGAAACACTGCCCGGTCCTGTTAGTCGACTGGGACTCAGCAACCCTGTGTGACAGGGTAGAACTTCCCCATAGGGTTTTCTAGGCTCTGATCTTCACAGGAGCAGATCACCAGTTCTTTCTCCTGTGGAGCCACTGGTGGGTTCGAACTACCAACCTTTCCATTAGCAGCCAAGTGCTTAACCGTTGCACCACCAGGGCTCCAATAGAATAACCAATTTTAACCTTTGTTTCAATCATCCATTGTATTAACTTTCCTTTCCAGTTTTGGGTCATTTGCGGTTTTACTTAAGGTGTCTTCATCAAGATGACTATTAAAATCCTAAAGTGGGAAGGCCACTGGGCCAGGTTATTAAAGACCTAGCTGTACCTTTATCCTTTCATTTATGCAACAAATACCAACTGAGCATCTACCATCTGCTAGAAACTCCTCAAGGCATTTGGGATAAACCAATGAACAAAACAAGCAAAAATTCCTGCCCTCAGACTCTTACATGCTAAGGGATAAAGTAAAACAACAGACTAAATAAATATGTTGGGTGGTAATGGCTGTTGGGAAAATAAAACAGAAAGGGTGGAGGGAGTGCTAGATATGGGCAGGCTACAATTTATAATAGGGCAGCTATCAGGGAAGGTCATATTAACTTGGAGTCATTAATCATTGACTTTTAGTTAAGTTTCAGCCAGTCCTGTGTCCACATTAACCATGCAATCATCCAACATCTATGTCTCCATCAAATTCACAAAGATTTATCTGCGGTTTTATGTAACGCCTTGTTGAACTCAGTATACTATCAGCAGAGTGGGGCATCCTTGAGGATTCACAGAGGACTTCCAGTCTCTCCTCCCCTGATCCTGCGGGCAAACCTGTGAGGAAGGGACAACAGGCCATGTTCTTGTGTTTCAGCCGCTATAGCTGGTCTGCCGGGCTTTGGGTTAGTGATCCACATTTAGCAGGTGCTGAGTTCTCTGGGCAGAGGTCGTGGCGTGGTGGCCCTTGAGGACGCAACTGGCCTACAGATGGGTGTTGATGGCCTATTAGAGTCCTTTACAAACTTTGAATTCATTGCTGTTGTTAGATGCTGTCGAGTTGGCTCTGACTTATGGAGACCTTATATATAATAGAACAAAGCGTTGCCTGTTCCTTCGTTACTTCCATGATCATTCCCAATGTGCAAAAAGCAGGACGTGGCAGACAAAAATTAAGACTTCCAGCTTAAAAATTTTAAATATGTATTTTTTTAATATTATATACATATTATATTTTATATTGTGCATATATATATGTCGTTGTGTGCGGTTGAGCCGATTGTGACCCTTTGGGACAGAGTAGAACTGCAGCAGAGGGTTTCCAAGGCTGTAATCTCTATGCGAGCAGATAGTCAGGTCTTTCTCCTGCTGGTAGGTTGAACTGCCAACCTTTCAGTTAGTAGCCGAGAGCTTAAGCATTGTACCACCAAGTCTCCTTTGCATATATATATACATATACAGATATATATAGTTATGGATTGAATTGTGTCCCCCAAAATGTGTGTCAACTTGGCTAGTCTGTGATTCCCAGTAATGTGTGATTGTCCACCATTTTGTCATCTGATGTGATTTTCCTATGTGTTATAAATCCTACCTCTATGATGTTAATGAGGTGGGATTAGCGGCAGTTATATTAATGAGGCAGGACTCAATCTACAAGATTAGGTTGTGTCTTAAGTCAATCTCTTTTGAGATATAAAAGAGAGAGGCAAACAGAGAGACAGGGGGACCTCATATCACCAAGAAAATAACACTAGGAGAACAGCATATCCTTTGGATCCAGGGTCCCTCTGCTGAGAAGCTTCTAGTCCAGGGGAAGATTGATGATAAGGAGCTTCCTCCAGAGCTGACAAAGAAAGCCTTCCCCTGGAGCTGACACCCTAAATTCGGACTTCTAGTCTACTAGACTGTGAGAGAATAAACTTCTGCTTGTTGAAGCCACCCACTTGTGTATTTCTGTTACAGCCGCACTAGATAACTAAGACAGAATTTGATACCAAGCGTGGGGAGTAGGGTGTTGCTCTAACAGATACCTAAAATGTGGAAGTGGTTTTGAAACTGTGAACGGACAGAGGACTCAGAAGGAAATGAGGAGAGCTGTTACACTGCAGACGGCACAGCCAACAAGAAGCAGCAGCAGACAACCAGTAGCAGCAGAGAAACAGCAGCAGTAGAACCAGGAGACCAGCGTGACACAGCCCTGGAGCCGACCCTCGGAGTGAGAGAGTTGAGTGCCTTTGCACAGAGTAGGGTGCCTCTGGGCACTTATCAGTGGCTGAAGTTTACTGGCATAGTGGAGTGCCTCCAGGCACTTTATTGGTGGTGCTAAAGAGCTTTGGAACACCTGCTCCAGCAGGGCAGATGCCGGTGTTGAAGCCCGAGGGGCCTGGAGGCCATGGAACCAGGAAGCATAAGCTGAAGAGACAAGGAACACAGGAAGCAGAGCTGCCTCAGTCTCAAAGGGTATGACCACGATCTCTGGGGTCTCAAAGGGTGGAGCCATGGCCTCTGGTGTTTCTAAGGGTGGAGTCACCACTCAGATGGACTAGGAGAATGGGGCTGCCCAAAGCTGAGGGAGCAGAGTTGCTGTCCCAGTGGGCCTGCAAGGCAGAGCTGAAGCCCAAGGCCGAGGGGCCTACACACAGAATCCAGAGAGTGTGGCCAATACCTACTGTCTGGAGGGCAGGGCCATTTTGTAAATGGTCTCAGAGAATAGAGGATTATTTTCAAACTTTGAGGGTTAATGTAATGTGTTCTGCTGACTTGCTTGGTGCCCATTATCCCTTCTTTCCCTCCAATTTCTCCCATTTGTAATGGTAATGGAAATGTCTAGCTTGTGCCTGTTCCACCACTGTACTTTGGAAGCAGATAACTTGTATTCTAGATTTCACAGATGAAGAGGAATTTTTGGATTTTTGACTTGGAGTTGAATTTATACTTTTGCTATGATATGATGTGATGAATGTGTTTTACATGTGGCAAGGAGATGAATTTTGGGAGGCCAAAGGGTGGAAAGTTATAGATTGAATTGTGTCCCCCAAAACATGTGTCAACTTGGCTAGTCTGTGATTCCCAGTAATGTGTGATTGTCCACCATTTTGTCATCTGATGTGATTTTCCTATGTGTTATAAATCCTACCTCTATGATGTTAATGAGGTAGGATTAGCAATAGTTATGTTAATGAGACAGGACTCAGTCTACAAGATTAGGTTGTGTCTTAAGTCAATCTCTTTTGAGATATAAAAGACAGAAGCGAGCAGAAAGACTTGGGGATCTCATACCACCAAGAAAGTAGTGCCAGGAGAAGAGCATGTCCTTTGGACCCAGGGTCCCTGGAATGAGAAGCTCCAAGTCCAGGGGACGATTGATGATAAGTACCTTCCTCCAGAGCTGACAGAGAGAAAAGCCTTCCCCTGGAGCTGAAGACCTGAATTCAGACTTCTAGCCTACTAGACTGTGAGAGAACAAACTTCTGGGTGTTGAAGCCATTCGCTGGTAGTATTTCTGTTATAGCAGCACTAGATGACTAAGACATATATGTATGTGTTTGTTTGTTTTTCCCCCCTAACGTGAAGCTTAGCAGTGTTCGGCCAGCATTCTCCAGTGGCAGCAACTGCTTGGGGCGAGGGTGCAGCTGGTTCCCAAGGGGGGCACACTCTGCAGTTGGCTGTAGCACTCCCCCCATGCCCTTTGAGATGATATTGGATGGCTTCTCCCAGCTATGCCACCCTCGTGTGGCTCCCCATTTGAGTTTGTGACTCCTGGTCTATGATATGACCGTGGGTGGTGTAAACAGCTTGTGCTCAACTGCTAACATCATATGCATGCTAAAGCTGGACAATGAATGAGGAAGGTGGAAGAAGAACTGACACCTTTGAATTATGGTGTTCATGAAGAATATTGAATATACCATCAACTGCCAGAAGAATGAACAAATCTGTCTTGGAAGAAGAACAGCCAGAATGTTCCTTAGAAGTGAGGATGGGGAGACTTTGTCTCATATGCTTTGGACATGTTATCAGGAGGAATCAGTCCCTGGAGAAGGCCACCATGCTTGGTAAAGTAGATGGTCATTGAAAGAGAAGAAGACCCTAAATGAGACGGATTGACACAATGGATGTAACGATGGGCTTAAGCATAGCAACGACTGTGAGGATGGTGTAGGACCAGGCAATGTTTTGCTCTGTTCTATGTAGGGTCACTATGAGTTGAAACTGACACCACGGTACCAAACAACAATAACAACCAACCTAAAGTTTGGTGGTTCCAATTAACCTAGCGGTGCTATGGAAGAGAGACTTGGTGATCTGCTTCCATAAAAATTACAGCCAAGAAAACCCTGTGGAGCAATTCTACTCTTAACAAGTGGGGTCACCATGAGTCAGCCATACGTAAAGTCAGTGGCAACGGGTTTGGGGTGTTTTTTTTTTTTTTTTTTTTGTCCTATGGTATACCCCTTTGCCATGGAGTTGATTCCAACTCATATTGACCCTATAGGACAGAGTAGAACTGCCCCATAGGGTTTCCAAGGCTGTAGTCTTTACAAAAGCAGATGGCCATATCTTTCTCCTGTGGAGTGGCTAGTAGGTTTAAACCGCTAACCTTTCGGTTAGCAGTCGAGCACTGGACCAGTCTCTGGAGTGTGTTTACTTTATAAAGTTTGGAAGTCCTTTTCTGGGCCATGGACATGCAACTCTGCACTACTCTGACCAAAAGAGTAGGCTCAGAGGCTGTTCAGGGGTGCTGGGTGGCCGAGGTGCATCTCTACTCACCCCTACCAGGGACGGTCTGTCGCGGGCCGGCTCTGAGGACAGGTGGGGAGCAGCTGAAGGCAGGTGAAGAAATGGACCTGCCCTGGTGTGAGCAACCAGGAAGCAGCTCCAGACCCAGGAAGTCTGGAGGGCAGGGCTGACCACGTGACCAGGCTCGAGGTCCTCCCATTGGGGCAGCTCCTCCACAGAGGTAGCTGACGTCCCCCCAGTCTGATGAGAAGTGCGAGGGAAGGAAGCTGAAGGTGACCGCAGGGCCCCTATGAGACCTGTCATTGAGTCCGGCCCAGGCATCCTTTTGCACTTGCTTCTGATATTCCTGAGGCAGAGAGGTCCAAGTGTCCTCTCTCTGGAAAGGAAGGAGTGACGCCGCATGGTGAGGGGATGTACCATGAATGTAGCAGCCCAAATGGCACAACCTCCAATGTGGAGGCTCCCCAGCAGGCGGTCCCTGGGCTTCTTCCTCAAAGAAGGCAACACGTCATACCGTACACTACCTCTTGTTAGCTATCGTCGAGTTAATTCTGACTCACAGAAAACTCCTGTGACCCAGCAGAACTGCCCCATAGGATTTCTTGGCTGTAATCTTTACGGAAGCAGATCATCAGGTCTTTTCTCCCACAGAGTCACTGGGTGGGTTTGAACCGTCAACATTTGGGTTGGCAACTGATTGCAAACCACTTGTACCACATGGACTCCTTAGTACAGTACTCTGGACTTTCTATTTCCTCCTTGGGGGAACCCCCGCAGGTCCCCCTTCCACCCCCAAGACCAGCCCAATGCTGTTGAGGGTGTAGCGGTGCTCAGGGGTGGATTACCCAGTAAGCGAGGTAAGCACAGGCTTACTTGTGCTTACTTACTAATCTGTAGTGAACCATTTCACATGGGTTTCAAAGATGTGATGAAAAACACGTGAAATGGTCCACTACCTATTAGTGTAAGTAAGCACAAGTAAACCTGTGCTTACCTTGCTTACTGGGTAATCCATCCCTGTCAGGGATTGTAAACTTGAGAAGAGGCTTTGAGTCCGTAGGAAGGTGCTGTGTGGTTGGGAGAGAGACAGATGCCAGCCATACCTAGAAGCAGAATCTTTGATGTGGTGAAAAAAATGTGAAATTGCTCACCGTAGATGATCTGGTAAGCAAGGAAAGCTCCGTGCTTACTTTGCCTATTGGATACTCAACCCTGGCAGTGCCTCACTGTCTCCCAGTGAGCAGATCCTTGGGCAGTGAATCAAAAAAAAAAAAAAACCAAATCCATTGCCGTCGAGTCGATTCCGACTTAAGTGACCGTATAGGACAGAATAATAAGTCACAGGAATGAGTCTTGTGCTTTTTCACGCCTAACTCAAGTTAGCTGGTTTTCCAGCTTGGTTTTCCCTTAGCTTGTCCTTCTCTGTCTCCAGGCCATTGAACTGTTTCTCAGTGGCCCCTGGGTCCCCTGGTGCACCCCCCAGTCAGCCCACCACTGAAACCTGTCCTCACATCTGGTGTTCTGTTCTGATTCTTTACGTCCTGTGTTAAACCATCCCAGCTGCCACCGTCCTCTTGAGCCCATCTCAGGCCTCTCCTCACTGAAGCTGAAGGCCCCGGCATCGCACCCTCTTCTCTTCCTTGATTTCACCGGATGGTCCCTTGTACTCTGAATTCATACACTTAACCTTTCCTGTCCTCTTCTCCAAGCAAACGATGTGGCACCTAAAACCCAACCTTAATCTGATAATTATCTTCCTTCTAAGGCAAGATCCTACAGTGTGACCCCCACAGCCACTTGGGAGATTGGCTTCTCCAATTTCTACATTGGGAGAAGCAGCACGGAAGGGTGGCGTCATTGCTGGGATCCAGTGTGGAGGTGGGGCTAAGGGACAGGGTGGCTATCAGCCCTGCTCAGGGAAGGGGTTTGGCTTCAGTCTTCTCCTTCCCAGAACGCTTGATCCCCCAGAGTGATACCCCAAGGGCCGTGCTTTCAGCTTCGTTAGGGAATAGTTCTACTCGCTAACACAGGCAGTCGCCATAAGTCGGAATCAGCTGAATGGCAACTAACAAAACGGGAACGCACTGTGGTTTGCCATCTTGGAAGAGGACAAAGCCCGAGTGCTGGGCTGCAACAGGCCCATGCGCCCCCAAAGGGGTGATGGTATAAAGTGGGCCAGACCCAGAGAGTCCGGAAAGAGTGTGCCCTCGGGGTGCAGGCCAGGGAAGGTGGGCAGAGCATAGAGACAGACTAGAGCCACCCCTGTCTCCGCAGCCCCAGACCCCCCGGTGGATGAAGTGTGTGAAGGAAACCGGAACCTTCTTCCAACCCACCCTGGCGGCCTTGTTTGTCCAGGAGGCCTTCAATCTGCCCACCCAAAGAGCTGTATGTGGGCCCCTCCCGGCTACCCCGAACCCCAGCCCCCACCCCCCACCCTCCTGCCTGCTCTGTCCTCTCTGCCCTGGTCTGCACAGCTGGTGGGTGCTGGCAGAGACAGCCAGTGAGGCAGGGGCCCTCGGCTGGCACACATGATCAGGTCGGCCACGGGCTCAAGTCCACCCACACGCAGTCTTGGACAAGTCACCACCTCCAGCTCTGAGTCCTCCACCTAAAGAGAGACACCTGAGCTCTGTGAAGGCTAAGGCGCCCCCCTCCCAGCCCTAAAGTACTGTTTGTGATGTTTTCACGTGAGAACGGGACGAGGTGAAATTAAGACATGGGAATAAATAACCACCTCTCTGTGAGTGCCTGCCCCGTCCAGGTCCCCTCTAAGCCCTTTGCAGGAATCACATTTCATCCTACCCAAGGCCTGCTGGGTGCGTGTTACAATCATCATCTTGGCTTTACAGAGGAGAGACGGTGGCACAGAGAGGTTAAGTCATCTACCCAGGCCACACAGCTCCCAAAAAGCAGTCAGGATGAGCACTGGCAGAGGCCAGCCCCTCTTCCTACAGCATACTCATTTCCCTGCACCAAGAGCAGACAGGCATAGGGTGGGCAGGAGGAGACAGCAGCCACATGCGGAGGGCTGAGGCTGGGGGACTTCAGCAGGTTGGGGTGCAGAGAAAGCCGGCCCAGGAAGAGGGAGGATGAAGGGCAAGGATTAAGGAGAGGGTGGAGGACCAGGCTGGGGGCAGAGGGGTGGTGGCCCTCTCCCTTCTCTGCTTCCTAGGTGCTCTGCCTGGGCCTGAGGGTAAGGACAGTGTCCCCTCCCCATCGGCTGAGACTTCCCCATGGAGAGGACTGTCTTCCTCATGAACCTTGTGGACCTCCAGGGCAACCAGCCCCACCCCCCTTCTATGTGCAGCCCCTCCCTCCTCCCTCAACCAGGAAATACCGCCCCCCCCTTTCTGAGGCCTTTGGAGGTGGAGCCAGTCCTCCCCCTTCACCCCCAGGCCATGGAACTATTCTCCGACATCAAGGACGCGCTCCTCAACCGCCTCCAAAGGCTCCCCTGGATGAACGAGAAAGCTCGAAAGGAGGCCCAGGACCGGGTAGGCTGAGAGGAAAGGCGTGGAGGAAATTGGGTGTGGAGGGTCAGGTCAGAAAGCAATCTGGTGGGTTCTGAGGGGCAAGAGGCCGTGATGGCTGGTGGGCAGAGCACAAGGGCACACGCTGACGCAGAAGCAGTGCACTGCGCGGGTGTGCAGGGACAGTGCCAAGGACTGGCGGCGGGGTCCCTCTGTAGAGTCAGGCAGCTCGCTCCTGCCACCTGTGTGTCTCTCCAGGTGACCCGAGTGCGGGTGAAGATGGGGGCCCCAGAGTGGACCCTGGAGCCGGAGCTGGTCACACAGGGGTACCCCGAGGTGGGTCCTCCATCACCCCCTGACCTGCCTTAGTCCTTCGGTTTCCGGAGGATCCTGACCCCCTCTTAGCCCGGACATCCTGAAGTCAGGGTGTGTGTGTGTGCGCATGTGTGTGCACATCCACACGCACACCACGCTTGCATCCTGGGACACGCCTGTTGGTGCTGACATGCCTGCGTGGCCCCATCTGTGCGCGCACACGTTTGTCCTGGCACTTACCTGCAGGCGAACCTGCCCAAGGCCTGTCTGCGCAGGTGTGCGCAGTGTTGCTGTGCAGTTTCCGCTCATCTGTGGGTTCCCGGGTGAGGGCCCACCCGTGTGCCTTCAGCGGTCCCCTGGGGGACTTAGTGTGCCCCCATGTGGACCCCAGGTGCAGCTGGGCCCCAGCTTCCTGCAATTGTACCTGAGTTGTGTCCGAGCGCTCCAAGCCAGGAAGGTCCGGAGCTTCCTGCAGCCCTTCCACAGGTGCGAGGGCGGGGAGCCCGGAAACCTGGGTCCAGAGATGCCACCCAGGGCGAGTACGGACGGGCACGGGGCGCGGGCTGCGGGCACTACGACAGGCGTCAGGGGCCTGCGGGGGGCGCTCAGGGTAGGGCCGGTGCTCACTGCAGCACTGTCCCCACAGCCGGCGCGTGTTCCCCTGGGGCGTCGACGCTTACTACTCCGTGTCGGACCACGTAGTGGTCTTGTCTCCTGGGCTCCTGCAGCCCCCGTTCTTCCACCCTGGCTACCCCAGGTACGGTGTTCTGCGAGGGCACTAGGGCTGGGCCTGTGGCGGGAGACCTGGGTCGGCAATAGAGCTTCTCCGGTGAGACCAGCCTTCTCCCCCAGGGCCGTGAACTTTGGTGCGGCCGGCAGCATCATGGCCCACGAGCTGCTGCACATCTTCTACAAGCTCTGTGGGTACCAGGCCGGGCAGTGGGGTGGGGCCTGGCGGGGAAGGCAGAAGGAGGCCCCAGGGACAGGGGTAGGGTGGAGGGAGGCCGTCCTGCTCGCGGGCGCCCTGCCCCACCCCTGCTCTGCCTCTCACTGTATCCCTCCTTCTTCCCACCCCTCACCATTGCCTCCCCACCCCTGCCCCAGCCTACCCACACCCCTGT